TCACTCTGTTAATGCATTTTACTGCAGAGCCCACACACAATGGAGATGGTGTGTCCAAGGAGATAGAAAAATGTCATGAGGATGGAAATGAGGAAACAAGCACCAGGAGGAGGTGCTGCCACAAAAAGATTTTGCTTCTCTGAAAATAGCATCCACTGAAACCTTGCATCTCACTTGAGCCCTTCTGTGAGGTGACATGTGCCTGTAACTACGAAAGAGGCCACCATGCCTTTATCTTTCTGTTTCTACAAAGAATCCTAAGTGTTTCTTCTCCTTTTCCAAAATGAAGACTAGTAATTGCAACCATCATCACTTTATGTTTATAAGATTTATTATTTCAGCTTTTCCTGTCATTCTGTTGTAACCCAAAAGGACAAGACTCCAAATGACCTGTCCTCCTCTGAAAGAAAAATAATTTTTAAAGTTATCTTACCCTAATATTTTGTGCATGTATGAATACATATATATGTATAATATTTACATAATACTTCTCTTTTTTTTCGGTTAGGAAATTTCTACAACACCAACCTGATTCTCATCCAAAGGTTTCTTTTTTTCCCTCGCTTGTTTCAAGACTTTAAAAACTTTCCACAACTCTATTCCCAGTTCTGCAAGGCAACTATATGGAAATCATGTCCTGCAATTACCTTCTTAATTTTTCTGAAGAGTTTTAGTTTTGGGACTGGAATCAGTCACAAGTTTTCCCTGAAGAAGATTTTAGATGAAAGTTGATGTTTTCTTATTTTAAATATTTGTGCCAGTGCACTTTCAAGCAGTTGCAGAACCTAAGTGTGATAGAGTTTTAGTACAAACGCTAAATAGAAGCAAATTATTTCAGAAAGATCAAAACATACCATTCTGATATTCTTTAGAAAGAAATTGTATTCTTTGTTTGTGTTGTTTTTGTCAGGGGTTTTTTTTGAATAGCTTTGGAACATGTTTCAAAAGCACTTATATTACAAAAAGCTTTGAAAATTTAAGAAGATCAAAATTAAACTGAAACACAAATTTTGTCGAAACAATACCTTTTGATTGAATCAAAATTGCTTTCCCCACATTTTACTACAGGAAGTTTTCATTCCATTTCAGAAGAAAAAACATCTCAGAATCCCAGCTTTCTCTTAAATGAAAAACCTGGTTTCTACCCACCTTCACCCTATCCTCTTTATATAGATCAGCATTATAAGAGGAAACCTTTGAAAGTATATTAAGCTATGGGCTTCTGCCGTTCATTCCTTGTAGAACTATGGAATTATACAAGCTGCCTCTTTCAAAATTCCCCATTTGGCCATAGAGCCTTTTGATTTTCCCAATGGTAGTTCCTCATATTTCTGTGGCTAAAATGTGAGTTTATTCAGTTCTGGTTTGGATAATGTGCATGACTGAAACACCTTTTGGTTTTCTGCAAAAATTCCACTCACGAGCCCACAGCAAGCAGAAGGAATGCTGTGCTCATCTGCATGATTTCTGTGCAGACCAGCAAAAGGAATGGAGCATACTCATCACAGTTTTGTGGCTACTCTACAAACTTAATCTGCCCCTAGGGCCCTGGGTATCACAGCTCCTATTTGCCCTGTGAATCTCTAGAATTTGTGGAAACACTTTGGACTTGAAGCACATAAATTACCTAGTTCTCTCATATCTGAAAAACTTATGTATTAAAACCTCTAAAGTTTAACAGTGCTGTCAAGCATTCATGGAATACTTTGAATTAATGGAAAATCTAGCATAGAAATGAACAATGGCCTCTTTTATGAAAACAAAATATTCAGAATATAGAAAGTTTATGTTCTTATTGATGGATCAATACAACTGACTGAATCAGTAAAAGTAATGTCCCTTGCATTATAACTTCTGGAGTGTTACATAAGGAAGTATAACCAGATTGAGGTAATGTAAGCCAACGCAGCAAAAATAGGTCTATATGGCACATACACTAATGGCAATTTCAGTTTTGGGGATGTTGCAGTAAGTTTTGTGCTAACTTCTGTAGCTTCTCTCAGTTTTGGTCTCCTTTTTCTGGTTTTTATTTACAAGTTCAGGTCCAGCTTGACTATCAATAAAAAAATCTCTTTTCAATGTGTATCCTAGATAACCTGGTGTCCTGGCTTTGCACAAATCTGTAGTTCAGATAACATTTCTCCTTTCCCTTTCCTTTCCTTCTCCTATTTCTTAGTTATGCCCAGGCCATGGATTCTGTTCTGTACCTCAACAGTTGGCAGTAGTTTGAGGATAACTTGAAATGTATCTATGGTGGAGCATGATGCAGAGAAGTTAGAAAGGAAAAGGGCTCACAGCACAATGCCATTCAGACTGGCAAATTAAGGTTTGGAAATGGTAAAACTGCATTCAAACAGCTTCTGTTCTAGTGGGATTCAGGATACTGAAGTAAGTCTGTAGAAACTGTAGAATCTGTAATTAAAAATGCAAAAAGATATATGGATAAATATCACATAAGGGGCAGATTCAGCATGACCTGAAGGGAAATCCTGATCTACCTATCTGGAAACTTCTCTGAAGTATTCATTGAACATGTAGACAGTAGAGGTCCAACAGGTACAATCTACTTGGATTTCCAAAGGAATTGACAAGATCCCTTATCAGAGGCTCATAGAAAATAAGCTCCTATAAGAAAGGTGCTTTTCTGGTTGCTCTCATTAATTGGTTAAAAGGTAAGAAACAGAAGAGGGAGAGAATCTGTGCAATTGAGAAAATGATAGGGAAATGGAGGCAAATAGAGAAAGGACAAAGTTTGCTGATGAGATTAAAACCTTCAGGGTAATGATGTTAAAAAGTTCAGCCAAACCAGAGCTATCTGCAAAGAGTTGCAGAAGAACCTTATGAAATAATATATAATAATGTCTGCAAGTAGAAAATTATGCACATTGCAAAAAAAATTGCTTAATTCCTGTAAACAGTGATGGGTTATGAATGACCTTTCAGAAGAGAAGTCTTGGCATTAGATATTTTTTAAGAATACCAGTTTAGTTTAGTGCTCAGAAACAGTCAAGTTAGGAAACAGAACACCAGACAATATTAGGAAAAGAAACAGAGAGTAAAAAAAAAAAAAAACAAACCCAACACAACCAAAGTAATTATGGTGACCTGCATTTTGAGAGTTTTGTTCAGTTCATGTTCCCATCCTAAATCAAGGAAGATCAGGGGTATGGGACTGTTTTTATATTAAGACTAAAAAGATTACCAGTGTTCATCTGGAAATAGGAGATGGCTAACAGGGGATTCAACAATAGTCTGTAAAACCTCAAATTACATAGAGGGAAAGAATATTTTGGTCTTTGTGTTTACAGCCTCACAATATCAGAATGGAGCATGATGTGAAATTTTCAAGTGGCAAGTTTGAAATAAAACAAAATTATGTATTTTTCCACAGAACAGATAATTGTGGAACTCATTAGCACAAGATCTTATAGATGCCAAGTTTTACATGGGTTCAATGAACAAAAAAAAAAATAAATAATAGAACAAAAATCTGTGAAGAGCTGTTAAACGTAAAGAATCCATCTTTCAGGAAACTGCTGTGGTACAAACCGCTTGAGGCTAAAAGAGCATATCAGGAAAGTGCCCTTACATGCTGATTCGTTCTTGTACCTCTTCTGTAGGCATTGTTGTTGTGGACTGTCAGAGACAGGATACTGAATTGAATGGACCCCTGGCCTGACTCAGTATGGTTATTCCGATGCTGTGGTTGTAATCTGAAGATAATTCATCGTGAATCAATTGTGCTCATTAAGACAGAGTAGTAGTTCACTGATGAAGAATTGTATCCGTCTGATGCTTTTTTGCTGGCTTCTCTGCCTTGTTTTTTTGTTTGTTTGTTTGTTTGTTTTTTCTCCATCATTCTTCTCTCCTAAGTAGCCACTAGAACATCACTGCTCACATGAACTTTCATTTTGGGTAGTGTTGTTTAACTGTGTTTCTTGGAATTGAAATTTTTGTAGTTCCATTAAATAGCATTTTCTTATCTGGCTGAAGAGTGGCAGGAACAGAGAAACTTATGTTTATGTAACCAGTCTCTGGCACTATACAAGAGAGAATTTATGTACATCATACAAAGCGGAACCTGACACTTTTGACAGTAGCATTGAGATTAAACTGCTTTCTACAACTACTCTCAAGCAGATCAGAAGGATAATATATTTATGAAAACAGTAGTAAAGGAAGAAATGGCTTAACTGTAAAATCAGTAAAGATGAAAGTGAGCACATTGTGTACATTACATTGTGGTTACACTGGGATTTTCTCTTAAAAAATCATGGGGGTTTGTACTACTACTACACACGTTCACTGGCAGCAGCACTGGTAACAGTAAGGGAGTAGATCTACTCAGAAATCAGAGATCCAGCTGGCTGTAGGGTGGCCAGCTGAGGTTTGAAGATCTGTGGAGGTGTAGGCAGTGGCTAGCAGGGCAAGGACCCAGAGCCCCACTAGGAAACATCTCCAGATGAGATAGATGGGTTGTGTGGGCTCCTCCTGTGCTGGAGGACTCGGCACCAGTCGCGTGTGTAGTGGTGGAAGGTGGGAGGCCTGGAGAAAGCCTGCCGTGCAGCGAGAGAGCTGAAGGCCTTGCTAGCGACGGGAGGGATGAACTGCAAAGTGTTTGGTGTGTCAGACAACTTGGACTCAAGAAGGAGGAAATGACTCAGACGGAAAATGATGAGTTTCTTAACGCTTGTTAAGGGAGAAGCCTGAGAAGAACGTGTTATCTATCCACAGTATGAATTACAGTGAAAGCCCTTGATTGCCTCTGCTTGGTAGGTGCAGTGCAGGATGTGGGGCCATTTTAGGGACGAGCCGTTGCTGCCCCTGCGGATAGGTGCGGGCCTGGGGCGGGGAGGGGGTAGCTCCCACCGGCCTCGGCTGAGGCGCTGCCGGTGCTTCCCCGGGGCGGTGGCGGCGGGGCGGCCGCCTGGCGGGAGGTGTGCG